AGATATTAAAACTCAGTGGTGTAAGTTACTTCTTTGTTTCGCTTCCATATTTAATAATGTTAGACGCTGTCTAAATTTGAGGATAATAATACCTAATTGAGTAATTTAGGGCTTAAAAGGTATACATACAATATTTTGATAAAGTGATAAAAAGTTAAATCTTATGAGATACTTGTAATGAATATTTTGTGTATATTTATATATGTATGTTAATATTTTAGGTAAATGTATTCTTGACAAGGCCGATATGCTGATGATTTTTAACCTAGGTAGAACGAAGAATTTTGCTTGAATAAATTATTTTGATAAATATTAGGTACTTTATAAACACATTGGTGTAAACTTTAAATGCGTTCTAATAATGCGACCAGCAAAATACGGTATTCATTAAATTTTCTATGAATTTATTGAGATCTCCAAGCCGTTTGATAGCTTTCTGATTATTCCTATAACTGAAGTAGAAGCAAAAAAGTCGATTTTTGCAGGAAAGCCTATGAACATCACTGTATTTTATCGTTCATTACAACAGAGGTTCACGTCATCTTGCACAAACACGAACATGAGAGCAATATACAACGAACGCCCGACACGCCGCGTCTGCATAAACAAGGACCAAGTCCTTAAAAAGCACTAGCAAAAATGGATCTCAATTTATTTTATTCTTTACGCATATATACGAGTATTTATAACAATTGTTTTTACAATATGGCGGCGTATTCTTCACGATTAACATCAGTTCTTGTTGCTTAGAATAATCGTTGTCATTTATCACTTTCTACACACTTTAAGCAGTCGCTAAATCCGAGTTTTTCAACAATAAATTCTAAGCCCTTGACAGCTACAACAAATGATGTTTCGCCCAAAATCTTGCTCAAAAGAAAATATGCCCGAACACGCTATTTTTTCATCGAAGTATTAAACATAGGGACAGATATAGTAAATATGTCGAAGCCAAGTAATTTAAAAACCATCCAAATGACTGTATGATTGGATGGCTAAATTTTTCATTCAGGAGGTTAGTTGAAGAGATGTCCTGTGTTAGAATTGCAACCCCGAACCAAACTAGAATGCTCTTTGCTTCCTGTTTTTTACCACCCGAAGATAGACTGGACGTTGATATTAAATAATTAAAACTTTGTAAACTTATAGACATCTCATCGTCCATTCGCCTTATTTTATGGTAAGACACTTGCACTATCAGAAGATTAAACACACAGAAGAAAATCCTAACGTTACTTAAAAGGAAAAGAAAATATCCACCTTATTTAGGATTGCAAATGACCTTACATTATTTTTTGAGGCCTGAAAATCACCATGTGTGGGTCGAGAGGGAGTACCAGACACTGTCTGACTAAAAACCACCCACTCCTTGCTCCAGGTCGCGGTACATCATTGCGCTTGAACCCACAACCCCGGACATGTCTATCGGCTGACCCAGCAATTTAATCAAAGAGACACAGATACGACTTCATACAAGAAAGACGACTCGAGAGAGAAAATAGTTAAATGATAAAGTTATAACATTACTTACAAATTGTCAGAAATGAAAATGGTAGAAACTAACAACGAATACAAACATTTATCGCTAGCTATTTTATTTGACCCTTAGGTCGATAAGGCAAGTGGATAATTATGGTATTTCAAGCCAATAGGTTACCTTTGCAATTTGTCTCCTATTTTGCATATTTAATCATTTGTACAAGCTTTTCGAGGCTTACTGTGTTTTCCCATATAGGTAAGGTAACGTTAGATCAGTAACTCTATATCCAATTTCATTAGAAAAGACTATTAGATCGAAAGGTATTTTTAAATCCAACATACAGTGTTTCTTTGACTATCATATAATAAAGAATGGTATATTAAAGACATACTTTTATTTACAGTGAAGACAATAACATTTTCTGTCGTAAACCTCGCTAACTCATTAACATAATATTTTATGTAAAAAATTGGGTTATGATTGTGACTTAAATTAGATACCATCTGACCTAAATAAAGCCTTACTTCAAACTAATGATGAAATCGAAATTGTAACCTAAAATAATGAACACATAAGAGATAAAACAACAAATAGGTATTCAAGTCGAAAAAAATAGGAATTCAGTGACACAGAAAACAGAGACAACAGAAAAACAACAGTATTCCAAGTTCATCGTCCCAAAACTTATGAAAACAAAATATATTCCTCTCACATACAGTCATGTAAAACGATTTTCTATCGAGATTTTGCAAACATGGTCTATCTTATACCAATAGTAATACAATAACAATTTATCGGCAGCGTGTTCGGCACACTAACCGTTCCTAAGGACTGGCCGGTCGTGACCAAGAATGTAGGACATCGTAGTGAAAGGGCGACTTAGGACATGATCCGGAGTTGACTCATTTTAGTTACCAAGAGAACAGTACTGGTTTGTGATGGGATCTTGGGTATAATAATGTGTTCCTAATGTTACAAAAGACTTGAATTGTTAAAATTATTGTCTTAAAATTATAACCCATATTTCACATTTATAGTTAAAAGTAATCGTGCTGTGTGGCAACAAACTACATCAATCTCAAAACAATAGTTGATCTTATGGGATATTAAACATTCTTATCAGAATGGATATTTGCCGCTTCGTATGATGGTAATAACCGAGTTAAGATCACTGTAAGTAACATAAGAACTCTTACAACATTATTGAGATGTGAAACAGCTGATACATGTTTTATACTCATTTACATAATATCGTATGGGAAGATCAATGGGATATCTGCGTGTACAGATCTTTACACCTATTAGGACTTATCGCGCGTGCTTACAATGGCAGAAAATAGAATTCGATATGCAATAGTAGACTTGTATTTGTGGAACTCTCATTGGCGTTTGATTGACTAAATTAGTTGTAACATTAAACACGTAACAAATAAATTATTTGTAGAAACATATTTCACAAAAATGTAGCGTACATCTCTCAATATTCAACGGATAAGTGGCTATTAGTTCTTATTACACGTTTTCCGAGATTGATGGGAACCCCTTAGAGGGAGTTCCGCAAGGTCATTAGTTAGGCCCCGTACGTTCACAAAACCTCTTCCTTATTACAGGTACACTAAAGTTTGCATTCATCATTTAGATCTTATCTGAATGTCCTCCTAAGGTTTCCCACGGCCCATGTTGAATTATTCAAAACCCACATTCACCGAAAGGGTCTTTATAATCCAGGTGTTATGAATTTAATTGCATCTATCTACTTTTATTGAATTTCGAAGGTTAAACATTCATTTAAGGCTATACAAAATGTTTACATCGATCTGTTCGAAGAGTTCATTACAATAATTTTTTCACATTTTTACGTCTTTTGGTTACGCAGTTAGTGTAAATCTGTAAAATTTTGTAAGTATTGTATTTTTCTTTTATTTTTAGTGATGTATTCTTTGATTGTTATAATTTGTATCAATACTGAATGTTTATTTTGATAATACAAATTATTAGTTATTTTGTTATTTTTTGTTCATATTTTGACTATATGTATAGCATATATTATAGTCTTAATAACTAACTATTTGAAAAATAAAATCTTCTGACGATAATATGGAAGTCACTTAAAACAAGTGAAGGTGCCCGGTTGCTAGGCTGCGTGCAAGCGCGAGCGGCCCGCAAGTTATAAATTAACCGTTACAGTTAAAATGACAAAATTATAGGTATTTAGTTTGTCGTCTATATTCGGTATTCCGTTTCCCACTAATCAGTCACTGCCGGTCGATATTATACGTTATTGACACGAAACATTCCACTACCGGTTGCGATACGAAATGCGGAATAGGAAATATTAAATTTTCATATTTTTTAAACTCTCTTTTATATTTCACTGTTTTAGTAATGCTACGTTAATTTGGAAAATGATGATCACGGAAATTGCTAGGTAGTAAATGAATTCATTATACGAAAATTATATCAATTACACTTCCCGCCGGGTTTATAAGGTCTGTAATGGTTTAAATGATGTAGCGTTTTGGTTAATGTGTAAATGTAAGATTTTGCGTGCGTTACATAAATTACAACGTCTCTGCCTTGATTAATGGGCTGTTTTTCTTACATAGTCAGCTGACCCATTTTATTCGTTTTTAGGCACTCTTTTCATATAATAGTAGCACATTTTGTTTGAAAGATTTATCTTTCAGTACTTAACTGTTCAATTGCCATCCAATCCAGTGAAATAACGTTTTAAAAATGTTTTGTGCTGGAACAAGTTCTATCCTTGAATATCTTACAAGTACTCACATTAAATCGGTGCTAAATTCTCGAAAGATTCCATTCACATTCCTACGAGAGCGTTAATTAGTTGAATATTAGAGGTTTGCGGTGACCTACATTTTCTTTGCAAGACTCTTTTTGTTCTTTTACAAGTGGAGGTTAAGCCCACTTTAGAGATTTGAGACTTTTAAGATACTTGAAGTACATTTAGCAATGGTAAATGCTGTAATCATGTTGCAGCATACCTATTTCATACTGGTATAAATGTGAAATTTGAAATTTCATAATGAAGAGGAGAAGAAAGGCGTGATCTTGTATTTAATTCAAAATCACGCTATGGTCTATTGCAGTAACATTTATTGGGTCTCTAGAATTCATGTCATTTTCCACATGAACTTTTCTTTCTTTTGCTGTACAGTTGGAAAAGTGGCTGGATAGCCATGTCACCCGCCGTTTTCATTCTTGTTCACAATAAAAATGTATTCTTGCGATCGATAAACTGTTTGTCCAAAGATAAGCTAGTATGTAACAAATAAATTGGAATATCCAATGCAATTTTTTAACTATTTGTGACATTCACATCACACATTCAGACATCAGTTTATCAAGTACTGTTTATACAAAGGTGGTAAAATAGTTACAAGCTTAGGTTTATTCAGAATATGGGAGTTTATGTTTATGTAACTAAAGAAAATCCTGGATTTTGAGCTACATTTTCAATAAAATATGAATTATTTGTTTTGTTCATTGTTACACTAACCTGTTTGCGTGCTGTCCTATAGCCGATGTGTGTGAACTCTTGCGTCTGTCTTTTGTCCTTGTTTAACGCAGGCTCTGCCGCTTTTTCTGTCTCCTTCATTTCGGCTGCGTAAGCGCATAGCGCGAGAGCTGTAACAATGAAATAGGTGATATTAGTTTTTGAGTTTTCAACACTTTTATTAGCGTATATTTAATATTATGCGTTGCTTTTCATTCTAGGTCATAAGTTCTTACTTAATATTGTAATCAGAATATTCTATAGTAAAAAGTTTTCATTCACAGTTTAGTTTCAATGTACGGCATAACAAAGTATTGCCAAAGAAAGAGCACGATTGTGAAGATAAAGAAGAGAGATGTAGTGTTAAGCCAGTTCTGGTAAATTGATTATTTAAAGTTCACTCATTTAAATAGCTCTTACATATTCAAATAGCATTAGAAATGACACAACTAGCTGCTCCATTTGTAATTATGAAAGTACTGAACGCTAAAATGTTCATAAAATATCGAAATCCAATACTTAGATCATTGCTTTGCGCTTTAGTGTTATGGAGCTAAAAGCTGGGTTACTCAACAGTACTGGCTTTAAATGTCACCTGTGATACTACATCAATTATAATTCAATTGATTACTTCGTGGCTCCAGGAGTTTTTTATGAGTTTGTGAAATTATTTCACCACATTAAAACCTATTTTGTTTTTGCATTATGAATTCCAAATCAAATCACAATATATTATGACTATGTAAAAAGCATACGATACTAGTACATTATGGTACATGCTTGTTATGTTTGTGGTTGCCGCTAAGGCGCATTGAGTTAATCGGTCTTAAGGAGCCGAGGACGGTAAACACGACGTTTTAAAAGAAAATAATAAAAAAATTCAAAAGAATAAACGAGACGAGACGAGTTGAGAAAAAAATTTTGTAATGGCGGGAAAAATTAATCTGATATCCTATGCGCGCGCATCGGCCATAGACAAAAATGAGGTTTCTTTTTTTTGAGCTTTTGCGGATAGCATTTTAACGCAAGTGTAAGCGTAACTCAACCAATAATAGAAAAAAAAATCTATAACTCACGCGTGAATAATATGTTGTAATGAAAAAGTCACAGTTTGATTATAGTTGTCATAATGTGCCTAATTACGATGGGATTAGAAGGAAGTGTGTAGAAAAAATAGTTGCAAGTTTGTAAAATCGTTTCACCTCATTAAAACCTTTTTTGTCCAGCTTTTCATATGATTTATTCCATTCTAATACCAAAAACTAATACCACTGGTATTTGATTCAACTCTTATTTTTTTTCTATTCCGAACGGATACCACTTTTTAAATAATTTAATTTAATGTACGAACGAATACCAACAACTAGAATTTGGTACAGTCAGCTCAGTCAAACCTAATCAAAGTAAATTTGTTTTTCAATATTTTTATGTAATCGTAATATAATGCTTAAAACTTTCCAAATTCACTTCACTCCAATATTTTTACAAAGGTTAGCATAGGTAAGAGTAGTTATAGTGAATCATCTTGCTATTTTTTTTACCTGCGAGAAAGGGTGAGTTTGCTCTATTGTTCCAAAATTCGAAAGAGTCAAGTGTGACTGGAATGTTGTGCTTTGACTCGGAGAGAAATTTTATCTACATAAATTCCTCAGTGCATTTCCGTGCGGTGGCGGTGGCGTATTGGTATCAGAGTGACAGTGATTTTTATTTATTAAGTGAGTATATTAATTTGTTCTTTTCTATAATTTACTTCTCTTTATTAAAATTAGTGTTATTTAAAATACCTATTATTTGATTTTTTTTATCATAATCCAATCAAATGTAAAAGGAGGAAGCTGATAATCAGCCCTCAACATCTTCGGAAAAAAAGCTTGACTTTCATAACAAGAAATGGTGGCTTTGTTTTAATGAGAGCTGGTTACCAGTACACAAAAGAAGCGAAAATAAAAATGGATGGACCCATTGGAGATGTGTGAATGTTAAAGAGTGCAGTGGATCTTTACAGATAAAGGTATGTTACTAACTATACTAGAGAAAATTCCGAGCATAAAATTTTTTGAAAGCGACGAAACATTCGATTGCACCCCTGAGCCTTTTGTGCAGTTATATACTGTCCACGGAGATCTGGGAAGTGACGAAGATCACACTCGTATAGTTCCTCTTATTTATGTTTTACTTAACAAAAAAACAGAAGAAACATACAAAAAAATATTTGAAATTTTGAAACAAAACATTCCTGGGTGGGAACCCGTAAAATTTTTAACAGATTTTGAACTAGCCGCAATGAACGCCATTACAATTGTTTTTCCGTCAGTTGTGATTAAAGGATGCTACTTTCATTATTCCAAAAATGTACGGAAAAAAGCAAAACATTTGGATCTGACAAAAGATGCTATCACCCAAAGACATGTAAGACTTTCAGCTTTACTGCCTTTACTTCCTCGTAAATTCATATCAGAAGGATGGTGCTACATAATGGAAGACTGTCCTGATACTGACGCCATTTAAACATTTAATGACTACATGGTGTCACAATGGCTAGAGAACGAGAGTTTTGTAGACATTTGGTGCGTTCATGGTGAACGCCATCGAACCACAAATGCCGTAGAATCTTGGCATAAGAAATTAAACTCGGCTGTGCCAAAGAATGCTAATTTATATCAGCTTCTGAACGTGCTGAAAGAGGACGCAGATTTTCAAACAGTGTATCTGTTTTTTTTTTTCAATTAAAGGTCTTATATTTACATACAAAGCATTTTTACTGACTGTACCTTATATCTTTGAACTTGTTTTGGTATTAGTTTAAACAATGGTATCGGTTCGGAATAGATAAAAATATGAGTTGAAACAAATACCAGTGGTATTAGTTTTTGGTATTAGAATGGAATAAATCTTTCATATTATGAAATTTGAATTTCGAACCATAACATCTGACAATGTATAAAACATACGATAAACGTATCCTTACAATGGAACACCATACAAAACCCTATTAAAACAAGTTCAATCTTCATGGGTGTCATCGAAAGCCGTTTTATTGGAAAAAATGTCCCCATTCCATGTTTTTGGGTCACGTCTACCAAGAACGTTAAAGTTACTGACATTTAACGGTATGAAGGAGATAAAATAAAGGCCTAAAGGTCCGGAATCAATTTTGCTTCAATAATGTCTTCCTTGTCATTTTTAGTGTGAGTTATTAAAAGGAGATGTTTTATATTATTACTAGTCGCTCCCCGTGGATCCCTCGTGGATTCGCCTGTAGTACCTACCATACTGAAAGTAGCCTGTGTTATTCTAATTATAATCTTTATCTGAGCAAAATTTCATTCATAATCTATTCAGTAGTTATGACATCTGAGGAAGAATAATCAGGTAATCTGTTGAATGAATACTAAAGAGCTGATTTGATTTATAATTTTTTGAGGAAGAAAAGTCATGTATTCTGCTGGATACTAAATTGTTTTATTTTGTATGGTCTTCAAAAATCTTAGGTACCGGCGTGGTATCCTATGTATTTGCCTATTTCTCAAGCATTAGGGTGCGAGTTTAAAATCTGGTAAGTAGCACTATAATTTTCCGAGTAAATAAAGTAGTTTAAAATCAGAAGCATGGTGTTTAATGCTTAAACAATCTCTATATGAGTAGAGACCTTTGCTCCGCAGTGTGTTTACGTCTATGTGTACCCTGATAATGAAATCTAGCGTGTTAAATAGAAAATAGAATCACAAGTTTACTATAACTATTGAAAACATACCCCATTATGGTTGGCCATCTCAAAAATGCATAAGCAACTGATCGTTTGACAAAGAATTTAAACTCAAGGTAAAAAGTTATTAACTGGGCCTTTTACAAACACCTTGGTATAATGGACCCTACGTCATTTACATTGGAGGATCGAACTAGTATGGAATGCATCACTCACGATTTTAGATCATTTTGTCGATCGATATAAATGTTTTTGTAGTCAATGTCATCATCATTAAGTATTTGAATGATGCATTCTAGTTCAGTTTGGGAACATTTATTTATCATTTATTAATAACACGTCTTGCGCCCTACCCCATGAGGGTACGGGATCGAAACCTGGCTAGTGCTGCACCAATGTGACATTTTCCGAGCTATATGTACTTACTTTCTGTGATTATTTAGACTCCACTGAGAAACTGTGGAGGAACACATCGTGAGGAAACCTGGACTCATAACTTCTAATAATAAGTTTGAAATTCGCCTTGAGCAAGCGTAGTGACCTACTCCATGTGAGAAGAGGCCTTTACTCAGTAGTGGGCACTTATAGGCTGATGATGATGATGATGAACACGTCTTGCATAATGTACACTGGCGGACTAAATGCGTTAGACTAACATTGTTAATAAACAAACCGTAATATGTATAATATTATGCCATTATATACCCTTTTGTGGATAAAACACTTCACAGAACATCGAATATGATACTAAGTTTAGGATTATAGCGAAAAATTTCTTGACACCAGTTGGGGTTTATATGGACATAACAAATCACTACATGACATAGTATAAAACAAAGTAGATTCAGAAATTAGTTGGGGATTCTAGGAGGAGGTTTTAGGATTATGGCTCCAGTAAACTCAAGTTCGCGAGAAAAACAACTCAAATATTGTTTCACGGCTATTCTATAAGACCGTGATATCACTCTACTCAAGCTGGCCCATTCGTCCAAAAGTATGGCCCTTCCATATTCATACAGAACTAGCAACTGTCCCGCGTTTTCTCCCGCTACCCGGATCCTACACATCGTAGGTAGCGTGATGTTTTATAGCCTAAATAAAGCCTTCCTCGATAATGACAAACACAAACATATTTTTTCAATTCGAACCAGCAGTTTTGGAGATTCACGCGTTCAAACAAACAAACTCTTCAGCTTTATAGCATAGATTTCCAAATCACAACTCTTATTAATATCTTCTACCGCCATAATTATGAGAGCTCAACGAAGCGATCGCTAACATCGTAACACTTACAAAATAAGTAATAAAAAGGTGAAAACAGCCGTGTAACGCAAGTCATCAATGTGTTTATAAATATTGCTATAATTATTTCCACATATACGGAACTCATTGACACGAATTTATTCTCACATGCTTGATGGCACT